TGGAGAGAAATTATTAAAGCTTCCAATCAATAATATTATTTCAAAGTTGGATGTTCTGTGGTATATGCCTGTAATTCCAGCACTCAGGAGACTGAGGCAAGAGAATTGCCATGAATTTGGACCAAATAGTGAGTTCAAGGCCAGCCTCTACTACATAGCAAGACCCTGACTCCAAAAAAGTTTTTTTAAATAGTAACTTTCATTCTTTAAATTTTCTATTTACATGTATTTTATGTTTACTATATTAGTATATGTATATAATTATACATGATATGTATAGCATATAGAATATTAGCATAATATTCCAACTTCATAAAGTTTGGAGATGCATGTGAAAATATTTTATGCTGCTATAGATACTCTACCAAAATAATTCTAGATGGTAGCTCAATAAATATTAATTTCCTTCCTCTTTCCCTTTTCCCATTTCAGCCTGGGCTAAAAGTAAAGAATTGTGTTAACACCTTGATTTGTGGCAATCTGAATAAATTATAGCCGATTCTAGGAGGTTAGGTTGGCTTTTATTTTAACCACTTTTTCTGTTTGGTCTCTTATCTTGCCATGTATTTTTTAATCACACAAAATTATTAAACATGGATACAGTTGACAAACTGACTTGTTATGTTAGGTATAATAAATTGCTCATGCGTTAACATCTTGACACACAGGAAGTTTGAATGAATGAGTGGAAAATGTTCCAAGTTATTAAAACATTCTGTTACCTGATTTATTCATTTGCCATAACCATAATTCTAAAGTAGGTGAAGCAGCTTCACTTCCTGAGACCTGAAGAAACAATGTGGTTTCTTAAACCAGGCATTAAAGCAAAGCTGAAAATATTTGTGTTTCAGCAACATTGGTAGCAATGTGAAAAAGTTGTCCCTCACTGGCTAGGATTGTCCTATATTTTAAAGGGCTATTTGTCTACTTTTAGCAAGGTAGAAACTTTCAGTTGCTAAAAAGCTGTATGTATGATTGAAGAAAACTTGTCTCTCTTACACTGTCTTTTGAGATCAATTCAGAAAACTCTATTTGAGATATTATTTTGAACTCAAACTCAGAAATTCCTTGGACTTATCATTTTCTAAGATTTCCTTTCCTAGAAGGAAGGAGACAATATACTTTTGGAATATTGAAGTACTTTTAAAGTAATAAGTATACTCTCTCCTCTCCCTTATTTGCTTAAGATTTTTAGGGGTCTGATCAAAAGTTTATATGTAAATACTACTATAATAATAATGTGATATTATGTATTTTTAAAATATGCCAAGGAGAGAATTAAGTGCCCAAACGATGGCTAACAAATCAGTCCTAAAGACTAAAAGACTGAACACTTTAATAGCAAGTATTTTGAAATTCCTTCAGAACTGTTTTTAGACCTTCCTATAATTTACTTTGTAATTTAGCACTAATTTAGGTACTTCATTTAGGCACTACAGTTGGCATGTTTCCTTTTGAAAGGTAATAATCCATTAATAAAAGCCTGAACATCTCAATCTCAGAATTCCTCTCTAAAATTGAAGTCAGTTTTACCCTTGCTTTGAAAAATGTTACCAATGTGTATGTATGTGCTTTGTACTTCATGGCTACACTTCTGTTTTGTTTTAGATATTTAAACCACGTCAGAGCTGCGTCTCCACAAGACCTCGCCGGAGGCTATACTTCTTCTCTGGCTTGTCACAGAGCACTGCAGGATGCATTCAGTGGGCTGTTCTGGCAGCCCAGTTAACCTTGATTTCACCATTTATAAGATTTGGACCTTGAAGCTCAATCAGGGGACTAGAGAAGTAAAACAAACTTGTAAAAATTAATAGCCATATGCAACTGCACAACAGTACTGTCTTTCACACCTGTGCTAACATATTTATGCAGAGAAAATTTCAGAACTAAGATGAAAAATACATGGGATACATGTTTGTGAAAAGGATTTATTTTTTATATTTTTTTCCTGAGCCAGATTGAAGCAATGAGCCTAATCTGATGGAAGAGAAGAATAAATAATCCATCTATGTATGTTTAAGGTTGACAGACTTGTTAAATCTTTTTAAAAATAAAGCTAGACTTTATAGTACATTTTGTGGTTTTTCTCTTATTACAGTGTTTTACTTGAACACATTTTAAAATGCCATTTTGATTACAACATTTAGTGTTAATATCCAGCTCTATTATTTCTTCCCATAAAACTCCTTTTTTTCCTAATGTCTTCTGAACACCAGTCCAGACAAGTGGATATATTTCTTTCTACCAGCAGGTCACAACAGGTAAAACCTGACTTGTGATAATGTCACTCCCTCAATTTTAAGGACTTAGTGCCAGTTTTGAGCAGGAAGAAGTGAGGCAAACCTTGATCAAGGTGTTATGGTTCCCAGCTGTGAGGCAAACGCAGGATAAACCAGAGCACAGCATTAACCTGCTTTATTGACAAATTCAAAGAAGCAAGTTAATAAAATTTAATACTTAAATGGCACCTTTCACCTCCAACGTGAGTTCATTTTATGATGAAATGTTGGGAGACTGGAAAAGGTACATTTTAAGTGAAATATCCCTGTGCAGTAAGTTGCAGGCTCTGATGTAGTAAGCCTTTGAAACTTCAAAGGCTTTATTGTAATGAGGGTTTTGCTTAGTTTGGATGTGGATAGGCTGGATATATTTGTAGTATCGCAGGTTTGTGTGAGTTTTTACATTGGTCAATGGATATGGGACACAATTTCTGAAGCAAATTAAAGGATTTCCTATGAAATTTCCATCCCAACAGATGTTAGTTTTATAGATGGAACATTGTGTGAACCTAGACTTGTGGTTATGTTATGGTGGAATAGCCACATGTAACAAATCCATCTTACTTTGTTAATTAAGAGATTAAATTCAGGAACACATCTTCACCTTTACATTTCTTTCTTTGGTAACCCAAGGCAGAATAATTGACTAGACCACAATCCTATATGTAAAACACCAAAATTAGAACACAGGTTCCTTTTTAATCTAAGTCCATTTCTAGTTATACTCTACCAGGGTGCATATCTTCTTCCTTAAAAATCTAAGTATTCCTCATTGAAGATTTAAATTTTAAATATAATCTGTAAATCTGTTCAAATAGTGAAAATTTTGAACTTTCACTTGAGGCTCTGCTACAGTCAACTGCAAAAATAATGTATTTAAAGAGAATGAACTTTACCTTTTGAAGGCTTTTAGTACTTATTTTGAGTTCACCTTAAGAATTGTTACCTGAAGATTAAAGATTATCAAATGACAACAAACAGAAATATTGTTTTTTTCCAAGCCTTTTAAGTGATTTCCTGAGACAAAACTTTATCAGCTTTTCATCTACGTGAATCAAGTCTTTTAGCATTTTATAACACTAGTTCAGAAATAGTATTAACTATTGTTTACCTGTGTGCTTGGCACTGATTCATGCCTTGTATATTATCTTAAAACAATACTATTATTTTCCCTACTTTTAACAGATTGACAAGTAGATGTTGAGTATGTAACTAGCTAGGAGTCAATACAATTTAAAAATAGAGCTGGAATCTTGTTGGGGCTTTGTTGTTTTTTTTTTTTTTTTTTTTTTTTGTACTGAGGATCGAACTCACGACCTTATGCTTGCCAGGCAGGTGCTTATACCACTGAGCTAAACCGTTGAGTAGAGCTGGGATTTGAATCCAGAGTTTCAGGCTCCAGAGTTCATGCCATAGAAATAACTGCCAAACTTAGGAACAACAGCTATGCTAAAACCAGATCTAGGTAGTCCAACCTCTTAAGACTTTCAGGAAATTTTTTTCCTGAATCTTAGAGCACATATATAGATCTTTATGGAACAAAAATGACATCAACTCAGTGAAAATAATTTTAAAATTCAATTAAGGTAGCAGATAACTGTCAAAAAGTTAATAAAATTAAAAAGTTGCATCAGTGAGCTTTCTAGGTGTCATTTTCTAGTGAATTAATCAACAGTTCATTTGCTAGGTATTATATCTAAAAGTTTAGGTGGATCTAGATTTATAGTAAAGTAATTATGTACTCACTTCTCCCAAGGGAAAAGGCTAAATATTAATTGAAGCATGTAAGTATTTTACGTATAGAATATCTTTTCTAATTAAAGGACAACTTCGTGGAAGCAAGTCTTATAAGAACATTACTTATAATACATGCTTCATGACCTAGCACATTACTGTATATTACTCAGGTTGAATTTCAAAACAATTTAAATGTTTCTAGACAAGAGGGGCTGTAATTCATTACTTCTCTACATCTTGTACCATTTATTTACATTAGCTGCCAGGCTTCTAAACATACGTATTTGAGTTTGTGATTAATGATTGAGATCAGGGTTTTGCAATTTGGGGGGGGGCTGCTTTTTAAGGCTTTTCAGGCTAACAGGCAAATCAGGGACATTATATAGGTACTGAGGAGATAGAATATATACTTTTTTTTTTTTTTACAAAATTCAAAATATAATTAATTACAATTTTTGTATTTTTTTGGAGTAACACTGCCTTTAATTGGAAACCTAGTTTTGACCTATCTTCAAAGTCAACTGCAAATAATCACCCTGTTAATGGTTACTTATGAATGAAGTTTTACATTTTAAGTCTTTTCATACTAACAGATACCATTAAATGTTTTTCAGTCTAGCACAGTGGTGGTGAACCTATGGATAAGTTCTGCACAGGGCTGTTTGTATCACTAAGAACTAACAGGTGCACCATCATTGATTTGAGTACACACTAACTGAGCATATTCATTATTTGGTAGGAATCTGTAAAACTGAATAATTCTTTCCATGACATCTGCCTTTTAACTGTCATTAATCACTTCCAGTTGAAGATTAGCTAGAAACTCAACTGCAGTTAGGTTTTGAAATGGGGAACTTTTCTTGGTCTTGCACCAAGACCTCCCAAAATACTAAATTTAATATACCCACTAATTTGCATGGATAGAAATGTTTAATTTTTGAACAGCAAGAAAGATGTATAAAGTAAAATACTGGAATCCAAATGTTAAGTTTTACTACAGTATATTTCACATTAAAGTTGTTTTAATCTTAGGTTGTATTCTTTAAGAAATATTACCAGGTCTTCAACAAAATATAATTTCTAGTCATTCATTTCCAAAATTGTGTTTGAATGCTGCCTGTTAAGAAAAACTTAAATCCTGACTTCTAAACTCAAAACATTACAAAATGTTAATACACAGATACAACTGAGGTAGGGCAGATTAAAATATTCACTTTCAACTTCTGGCAAAACTCAAGGAATTAAGAATGGTTCAGAATTTTTCCGCAAGGGACTTGCTGAAGAGTGATGTAGTAAATAGCTATAGGCTAAACTCTTGACATTTTCACTTTATAGATTTGTTCAACAAAGACTTTTTCTGTTTTTTAGCCACTGCCAGTTATAACACTTTAGGAGATGCCACTTTAGGCTGTACAGAATTGGCGTTTTCTTGACTCCTTTGAAAATATTCATCCATAGCTGCTCCATGCATAATATTCATAGAAGATGATTCAGTAATCACTTCAAGCTTGGCAGTAACACCTGAAATAATACTAAGCAGTATTAGAAACATCTGTGTACCCATTAAGAGGCAAAGCCATTCAGAATTATTTGCCTTTTTAATTGACTACTGGCAATGCTTCAACTGTCCTTAACTCTGAGTAACTGTTCTTGGGAAAGTCTAATAGTCTTCAGTTTAATTTTCCTTGGACATTCTTTGCCTTCCTTTTGTATCTCCTTACTTGCTTTCTAGTGCTCTCCAATTTCATAGTTTTCAGATGTGTCAAAATACTATTTTGATTCTTTACAACCATTTGAAAAGTAGGGTGGCCATAAGGTGGGCCAGACTTAGCTGGCAGGATATAGTCTACCTACCTATGACCTAAATCATTTTTTAAAATTACCTTGATTGTAGTAATTGGTAGTGTAGGTGTAGTTATGTAAAATTACTACACTCTTCAATAAAGAATAACTATAAAATGGTGTTAGTGGTTTGCTACGGTACCTTACCTTCAAAAATTTTTCCGAGAGCAACAATATTAAGCTTACTATCCTTTTTGTTTTTTTTGAGACAGGGCTTGTCATGTTTACTAGATAAGCCTCAAACTCAGTCCTCTTCCCTGAGCTTCACAAATCACTGGGATTACATGCACGCACCATTAAACATATTTATCTAATAAAAAACTAGATATAGTTTAGATTTTAAAATACTAATTGTGATCATTAATCCTGGTTTGTCAACTTCTTTGGAATAAGAAGTGCCTGATTATTAAAGCATGTTCCTGGGTATGTCTGGGTTGCATGGCCTTGGGTACTTCTTAAGGCCCCCAACAAATTTTTCTCAGGCAGTGTTCCTTGCTATTTCCTGGCCACTAAGAACTAAACAGATTTGCTCTCATGCCTGTTTCATGTTTCTGCCTTGGAGGCTGCCAACTATGTATTGAACCTTCTGAAAAATTGAGCTAATTCAGCCTTTAAGTCGTGGGTATCTTAATGTGTCTCAACAATGGGAAAGCTAATATAGTTATATAGTATGATTTAGATAAAAAGTTTTCATCGAAACTTTAACTTGGTAATGGTAAGATAGCCGGGAAAAATATTAAAGAGTTCAATATTAAATGTTTATGAAATTATACAAATTATATTTCACTACATAAAAGTACAGTGGTGAGAAAACATTTCCAGTTAAGTGTCTGGAGCAGTTTCTGTTTTTTCTTCTAAAAAGTCATTATCTTTCCTCTGCCGTTTAACAGATGGTTCTTCATCATTCTCTGTAACAAACACAGAAAACCTCTTTCAGATAAGGTATTTAACAGTTAAGTGTACTTTAAAAATATATAGGCATTTTAAAGATTTTTTTAATGTAGTAATCTTTAACATGAAATAACATTTTTGTGAATTTATTAGGTTAATGAAAGACTCCTATTTTAGAATGAACCATGTCCCTACTAAAATTTTGAGAAGCAAGTCAAATTGAAAGGCCATAGATCCTGTTGTTTTTTGGTACCAGAGATCGAACTCACGATCTTGTGCTTACCAGGCAAGCACTTGAGCTGCTGAGCTAAATCCCAAGCCCAGGACCATGGATCTTAAATTGAAATAACTTAGAGTTAGTCTAATCTCTTAATTTCAAGTTTATTAAGTATGTATATTCCAAAGAAATCTACATGAAAAGTATTATACTTTACTTTTTTTGTCTTTTTCCTTTTTATCGGTACCGGGGATCGAACTCACGACTGCCTGTTTGCAAGGCAGGTGTTTATGCCACTGAGCTAAATCCCCAGCCCCTATACTTTACATTTAATTCACTAGGAATTGCTCACCTAGATTGATGGTCTGGTTCTTGTAGAGTACAGAAGCTGGAATCTGAAAGGTGATGCATAGCATTACTTTGTTAGGGGCCACGTTTCTTACACTGTGAACTGAACTGCACGTCTCCAAGGAGATGCCTAACGCAGCTCCAGCACGTTGCTGAACATCCTGAACAGGATTAGCATCTTTGGAAAAACTGTAACAGTGCACTCTGGGAAGCAGTTCACTGCTGCACGGCTGCCCATCTAAAAGTGATCTGAAAGTACTGAGAAACTCTATGGCCTTAGCTGGCAGGTTCATGATTATGTGGATGGACGGTTTTCTTTCTTCTGCCAATTCCAGCTGCTGCTGTAACTCTTTTCTGACTGGTCCCTGGAGGAAGTCTTTCCCATCCAAATTGAAGACCTTCACCTTTTGGTCCACTTTATTTAATTTACAGTTGTGCAACAGCCATTTATGAGATTCGGGATTGAGATCATTGGCAAACACAGTGCAGTTTTTCTTTGCTGCTGGAATGGTAAAGGGCCCGACCCCAGCAAAAACATCAAATAGAACATCCTCAGATTTGAGAAGGTCTGTGATACGGCCATGTTCTGTAGAGAGGCGAGGATTCCAATATACTTTTGAAAAATCAAATTCATAAGTATAGTTGTTTTCTCGAACCTGAAAAGGTATGGTTTTGGTTAATCTGCTTGATACTAAATTTTGGTCACTGATGCTAGACAGATATGTGTACGTGCGTACTGACACACAAATTTAACTTTAGTATACTACCAGAGCAAATAACAGGATTTAAAGACATTTAAATTTGAATCTAGATGTTTATGCTATTTATGGGACAGTTAGTATCCTGTGTTACACTTGTTCATGAGAAAATTCATCTCTTCAAAGCCAAATAGCTCTCTCATTTCTAAAAGACTATAAATTGTTGTTTCCAAATCACATGAAGAATTTTTTAGTAAGACCAACTGACTGGCTTAATTATTTTCTTAGGTCACCAGATGGAGAAGGAAAAATCATATAATTTGAAACAACACACCATACATATCTTCCTAGTATGTAGTTAAGTTGTTGATAACACTTCCACCTAGCAAATAAGCTTCCTTCTTCTGAGTTTTTAGTAGAAGGGAGGCATAATTTTGAGTATTTTACTAAGTCTTTACTTGAACTTTGCAACTTTCCCACCTATAAATTATACCAAGTATAAAGAATGAGTCATTCCTATATTTTCTTTCTTTTCCCAAATCTTACTTTCAGGAGTAAACTAAATACATACACTTAAGCTAAATCACAACCAAAAGTAAATAAGACTGTAACATTTCTTTCAGGTCCATCACAGACACATTAGAACATCAAAAATAAAACTAAAATTCTAGTTGTGCAACCTCAGCCATCACTCTAAGTTCATTATTTTATGAACAAAGAATCAAAGACCAGAACTTTCCAAAGTTAAATAAATCCAATAGAGATACATCCTCTATCTCCTGCTTTCCTGGACTTTTAACTGCAAATTTATGTGGACTTTTTTTTCTCTCCTGAACCATAGCAGATGCTCTTGCCAAAGTAGGCAGGTTCCAGAGTGGAACATGTTCATGGAAGCTTTTGCCAACTGAAAGTCTCTCCAGGTACAACTAGGAAAGTTTAAATGTCTTGAGAACTACATGTTACAACTTGCTTTTTTGTCACTTTTCCTGGCAGTTGGCAATTTACTTAAAGAAATATGGAACTAAAAAACTGTGATAACCCACTGTATCCTGATGTCAGAATTCAACCAATTTTTCTGAGAAGGCTTTTCTGTAAATATTATCCCACCAATAACATGTAAGTTCTCAGATTTTTACATATTCAGCAATATTAGGTGTTACATATTTTTAATTTTTTTAATCTATTTTGATTCTAAACACTATTCTTGATACACATCCTACTAGGAGATAATAGAGTATTCTGTACCTTGGTCATCATGTTCTCTTCTCCAGATAGCAGTTCCATTTCAAAGTTTCGATATGTATTGTCAATATTATTGATTTTATTTACTGCTGAAGTGATTCCTGGATTTTTGTCAATCATAACTTGGCCTAAAAGATAGAAATTAATAGTAAATATTGCCTATTCATTATAAAGTGAATGCTACAACTGAAAATATTTAACAGAAATAAGTTATATTTTCTTTTGGCCTATAGATTTAAAACTACCCTACCTAGTGGGTGCAATGCTGCATACAACTCTAGAGTGGAACAGGATACTAAAATTAATTTCTAATATACACAATGTATGAGTATAAGAAATATACACAAAATGTATGGATATAAGAAAAAAATTTGAGGCAGTAGACTATACCTAATATTTGTCCACATTTTTACTAACTCTCAAATGTACTAATACAAGTAAGAAACAAGGTAGAACACAGGGAAGTGGGGAAGAATGAAAAAAAGAGATGTGAAGACCTGGGCAACAAATGGTCTCAGAAAACATCAGCAAAAACATCTGCCTGTCGCCATGGGCCTCAAGCCAAATGTCTGTTTTACTGTGGGCTTGAACAAATGCTTTCACTTTGGAAAGGTGTAAGCAAAACAAAAGAAACATTGATTCTTTAGAATCTGATCTAAATAAAACGTTCTTTTCATCAAATATTCATAATAGCAGAAAAGCTACAAAAATAGTAAAATACATCAGAAATGACATATCAAAGATGCCCTTTTACAGTTTATTTTTTGTTAGCACTTTAGAAATTTATAATTATCTCACTGCACACAAGAAGATAACGATTTGTAACTTATTAAAAATAATAATACAAATATGCTGAAATACTAGAATTTCCCTTTTACTGATACTTGGACACCTGATTTTGCAAATGATAGTATCAATATTTTCTAAGCAATCACTGCTCTTTTCCTGGTCTGCTTCAGATATCTGGATTCAGCTTTTAAAGTATAGAAGTGAATTTTAAATGAGGAATGTAATTTAAAAAATAAGCAGTTCTGAAGTTCTATAGTAAAATCTTTAAAACCATAACTGTATGGAAATTCTTTATTTTTATTTTTAACCTTTGAGTGCCCCTTTATGAGTTTTAAAAAATAGGCAGGCCAAAGGAATTTTTGAGTTGGGGGGCAATAACTTGTATAAAAGTCTACACCTGACATCTGTACTCAGTCAACAATTGTAAGGATCTACTCAGGTATTTATTATACTACCACTGTACATTATCAATCCCTCTCATCAATAAAAAAAAAGTTAATGGCTAATAGCAGAGTTCTAAAATACTACCCATGCAAAGCACTGAGTACCAGATATTAAGTCTGAAAATAATTCCCAGCAGTTGTGAAAATTTCTATTTTTAAGGAATCTAGAGAATATATGTGTATCAAATATTTATATAAGGATAAATGTAATTTTGAGTAGTCCTCTACTTCTATCTTCTAAAGAATTAAAGCTTTACATTTAAATCTGTATATACAGAGGTAGGACATTAACAATAAGCATTGTTTCTAAAAGGCTGGAACCTCTAAGAAACAAAGTTTGGTGCCTAACATAGAAGAGGCTTAATTAATGTTGACTCAATAAAAGCCTAAATAAACTGTGTTGTCCTTTTGTCTACGGAAACCCTGTATTTTTAAAACCTAGTACTAAACACTATCTTGAAGACCTCATAGTCTTGCACACTAAAACAAATTCTGTTCAGTGTAGAATACTTTTGTACTGGTATACAAAAGCCTAGACCAATTATTTAGACCTTGCTATGCTCTGAGAAGAGTACACAGATTGTCCCTCAAAAGAGGGTATGCAGCTCAAAGTTTGGCTTAAGATTACAACAATAAATTGTCCCTGTGTAGCATTTCAAAAATGATTTTCAAAACAAAAAATTAGAATTTTCCAACTGCTTTCTAGTACATGAACATTACAGTAACACACCTACCAATCAAATGCTTGAATGGTAGCTGATGATCTCGAAGATTCAGGTGTACAATATGTCCTACTCTGCTAAACCCTGAAATCACATCTTGACCTTCAGGAAGCACAGCTCCCAAGATCTCTTCTGACTTAAAGTTTTCATAAGTTAGTTCCAAATTATATTTAGATATCTGCGGACTGACATTAAGTTGACTTAAAATACTGAGTTCTGCTTTTTCAAAGGAATCATGAGTAATTATTTTATAGGGATCCAACATAATTAATCTGCATTCTTCATCTTCTGGATCTTCAATCACACGCTTTATGCCAGGGCGCTGCAGTGCTGACCTTTTAAGGGATCGCAACAATCTGTTGGCTATTTCTTTCCTCACTTTAAGCACTGGAATGGTGACTGTCTTTTTAAAAGCTGTCCTATCAAGGTTTTTCATTCCACGAACATTAGAAGGTGGTGAAAACAGTTCAGACTTGCTCTTACTTGCTTCCATTTCTGCCATGGTTGAGAATACTTTTCTTTGAAATAAGAAGAAAATACCAGGTACTTTCCTAAGCTTCTGTGTAAGCGTTGTCCATGCTAGCGGAATCAACAATTTGGATTCAGTTGAGTTACAGCTTTTTACTTTCAAAAGTCTTGAGAATCCAAATGGCCTCCATAAGATTCTTTAAAAGAAAAATGCACTTATTAAAAAAAAATACCATGAAATTACAAATGAACATATTTACAGTGGCTTCTGAGAATAAAAATGTAACTTGTTTCAAATATCCTGCTAAACAAAACTTTTAATGCTGTGGAAGAAGTATACTAGCTTTTCCAGGATAGCACGACTTTTATTACTTGCAATTTCTGCCCTGCTGCTGCCTGGATGGAGGAATTAATGATCCATCCACCCGGTTGCACTCATTGACCTTCTTACATTGACCTTTTTTACAGAATGCAGTTAGGACTGGAATCTAGGATGTGAGCTAAAAAATCATCTACAAAAGAATCATCTACAATATTAGGCGATGTTTACTGGGTATTCCTAAGCTTACAGATGCTCATTGTAGCAGATGCTGTGTTATCAGTATTGAGAGTCCAGCAGTGGCATACTGCTTTTGTAAATGAGCTTTGTAAACGAAGAGCCCCAAATAAGTTAACTCACACGGTCTCACTGCAGGTAAGTGATTAAGGAAGAATTTAAAATCCAAGCAAGCCTGGCCTCAGTGTGTCTTTATATCGTATATTGCCAAGTTGTCTGTCTTTGATGCTTTACTGCCATCGGTCCTGTCTACAACTAGAGGCTTCTGCATTTTCAAAAGAGGTTTTGCAGCGTCTTTTTAAAATTTTATTCTTTGCTGAGTCTTTTAAGCACTGTATCTGTTACTCACGTTTCCTTCGTAAGTACCTAATAGGCGATTATGGTGCGAAAAGCGCCGCACAATTCTGTACCGCAACGAAGTTAAAGTTCACGCTCAGCGTTCAAACTGGCCTAACACTTCACAAGCTGAGCGACCCCGGGGTAAATCACCGAATCCGAGTCTCAGTTTCTTAACTGTAAAATGTGTCAAAGGCTGTATCAAAAGGCCTCGCTGCCCAGTTCCGGACCTAAACTCGGCATGCGGGCAGGATACGTCACGACCGGTTAGTCGCAGCGAACCGGTACCGCCGCTGACCCGGCCGTCACCCCACCAGCTGTGCCTTTCCGAGTCCGGGTGAAGCTCCCCAGCTGGCTTGGTGACCAGACCCCTCACCTCATACTCCGGTGTGCTTGGGAAACGGAGGCCAGGTGGTGCAGTCCGCGGCTGCGTCATCACTGTGCGCGGCCAAGAGAGCGCGCGTCACCAGACTTCACGATTTCCTGCGCTCTTCCCTTCCCCGTGCGGAACAGAGTGCGGAAGGACCGGCTCGTAGCTCCACCTCCGGCGCGAGGAAAGGAGGGCCGGAGTCGAGGTTCGCGCATGGACCTGGTGGTCAGCAAAGGAGCGGCATGGAGGCGTCCTGGGGGAGCAGCAGCGCCGAGTGGGGCTGGTACCTCTCGGCCCAGCAGCCTGGAGACTCGGCAGCTGAGGAGCTGCGCCCGTTGCTAAGCAACGTAAGTGCTCCGCGGGTTTCCAGGCACTGAAGCCCCCAGAGAAAGGGAAAAGCCAAGAGTCCGATTTCCGGAGGTGGGACCCTCAGACAGCGCCAGACATCCTGAAGAGGTCGGGGGAGCCAGGCGTGGGACCTTGGCTGCGCACGCTGTGGAGAGAAAAGTTGAAAAAAAAAAAAAAGAAAAAAGAAAAGGTCCCGCCACGGACCTCCTGCAGGTCTGGGAGGTCTTTGCAATTGTCCCGAGATGTTTCTTTTCTCACCTGGCCTCCCCAGCGGAGGAGGAGGGTAGGCGGCCCAGTGATAAGCACCAAACTGCGATTTAAACCCTCGCTGCGGACCCCACCTGAACTCCGGTTCAGGGCGAATGCTCGGAGGCCCAGCTGTGTTCCCAGCCTCTGCGCTCCAGGAATCCTCTTTCTATGTGCATGTGGAATCCTTGCTCTGTTGCAGTTGTTGTTTTGCTTCCAGCTGCTATTTGGGGCAAAGGGTTTCCACGGATATATTTGCCAAAACAATGTGACTTGCTTCCATTATATTGTCAATGCACGTAGTCCTGACCATCCTTACAGTTGGGTAGATTTATTAATTATATAAATAAGGATTAAGTTTGCAGTCCTAGTAACTGGAAAGGAAGAGTTGACAGCAGTTCTAAGCTGACTCGGGGATTCTTCAGAAATCACATGAGCTGAGGCCAACGTCCTTATGTAGGTCTCCACCCCATTCCTATGCTATCTTCCTTCTTCTGTGGAAGGAATTCACAAGATTAATCACAAGGCTCTCCCTGAACACTGCCTGGCCTCTGTACAGACAGATGGGACTCTTCCTGGGAGCTCTGGATTCCTGGGGCACCAATTAGGAGGTGAGAAGGAAAGGAAAGTATTGTCCGTGAACAGCCTGATGATTTGCAGATGTTGTCCATGACCATTCCGTGGTTTTTAAATGAAATTTGAATTTGACCATCCAGAAATTTAACACCATTGAATTTCTGTACTTACAGGAACTTCATAGACAAAGATCTTCAGGAGTTTCGTTTGGTTTTTCAGTCTTTAATTTGATGAATGCCATCATGGGAAGTGGCATTCTTGGCCTAGCTTATGTTATGGCTAATACTGGTATCCTTGGATTTAGGTGAGTTTTTTTCCCGTATTTTACCATTCCACTCCTTTTTTCCCGCGTTTTAATCGTATTCTGAAAGCAAAGGAGTAGGTTCCATAGCTAGCTATAAAATTTCTAGCTAGATTATTTCTGAAGTTAAAACTTTTTTTTCTCTGTAGCTTCAAAGGATGCTATTTTTAGTTAGGCATCACTTAAAGATAGAGCATATTTTCACAAATGCCTTCTTAGAAGGTATTGTTGTTCTTACCTAGATGGCATTACTTGTCACACACTTACGCATATCATACAGCCTGTTGCTCCAGGAAGTAGACCTGTAAAGTAAATGTTACTTTTTTTTTTTTTTTTAATCGGTACCAGGGATCGAACTCACGACCGCCTGCTTGCAAGGCAGGTGCTTATGCCACTGAGCTAAATCCCCAGCCCTAGTAAACATTACTTTACAGAATCCTATATTCAGTGTAACACAATGATATTTTACCTAACCATATTTCAAGTGTAGAAAAGATATAGTGAAAATACAGTATTAACAATTTTACACCTGTGTAGAGTGCTTACCATGAATGGAGCTTGCAGGACTGGAAGGTGCTCTAGGTAAGTCAGTCAATGGTGAGTGAATGTGAAGGTCTAGGGTGCTATGCTGGACTTTATAAACACTGCACACGTGGTCTCTCCCACACTTACAAAAAATGCTTTTTTGGGGCTGGGGATTTAGCTCAGCGGCATAAGCGCCTGCCTTGCAAGCAGGCAGTTGTGTGTTCGATCCCTGGTACCGATAAAAAATGCTTTTCTTTCTTCAAATAATAGATTAACCTTTACTTTAGTTTTTCACAAACATTTCTTTAAAGGGACTAAAACAGAACAGTAAAGTGAAGCAAAACAAAATAGTAGTAAGACAGTGGAAAATCCACAATCATTACTATATTACATACTATTATCCTTTAAATGGTTACCCAGACCGCTGACCCCGGACATTTTAATTTTTAAACTTTTTTTTTTATTTTATTTAAAAGGAAAAAGAGAAAAAACGAAACAAAACAAAGCTGTGTAAGGGTACAAGTAATATAGAACTACAAAAAAAAAAAAAAAAAAACAAAAAAAAAACAATAAGAAATCACCAGTTAATAGATGACACATTATCATCTTAGAGATAGTTGCTCAAGTCACAGTATCAAAGCATACAAAGTGGACATTCAAACAGTGAGACTGCAAACAGTTGTGTTCAATGATCCAACCCAAAACATTAATATGGTCAGCTCTTTAACACCCCTAAACACACTTGCAGCTGTATCCTTTAGAGCACTTTTTTTCCCTCTCTTTTTTACAACAAAATTTACACATTTTGGGTTTTATTACTCCTTAGTTCTTACTACTTTTTTTTTTGGGGGGGGGAGTCAAATATGGCAAAGCAAAGCTGTCAGTCAAAACCAAGGATAGACATAGTACATGATGTAAAAACAGAGTACAAGGTTATCAACAATGGTTACCATAATGCCTCTTGCTTCCTTAAAAAGAATTGTCTATCTCATTAGATATTATAAAGTTGAACAATTTTTAAACTTTTTGACTCTTGTAATAACATGAGCTTAAAACCAGCACACTGTATACTTATACAAAAATATTTCCTTTATGTCCTTATTCTATAAGCTTTCCATATTTAAATTATTTTATATTTTACACCTTTTATTAAAAACTAAGACACACACATTAGCCTAGGCTTACACGGGGTCAGGTCACTGTCTTCCTATATCCTGTTTCACTGGAAAGTCTTAAGGGATGGTAGCACAGATTGTGCTGCCACCTCCTGTGATGACAATGCCTTCCTCAGCTAGGTGTGGTGGTGAGCACCTGTAACCCCAGCACTCTGAGAAGCTAAGCTAGAAGGTTAAGTTTGCTTCGCCGGGGCATATTAGTGAGTTAGTAAGATCTTATCTCAAAATTTAAAACATAGTTTTTATAAGGGGCTGTGAATGTCGCTCTGTGCAGAAGCCCTGGGTTCAGTAGCACACGCACACACACACACACACACACACACACACACACATGCACAAAAGCAAATAACCCCAGTGCTGCCTGTGGACTACCTCCCTAAAAGACTTCTGTGAGGCTGCTTTTCAGTTAACTTTTTTTCATAATTAGAAAGTGTACACTCTAAAACAGTAATAAATAGTAAACACAGCCAGGGATTTAGCTCAGTGGCACAAGTGCCTGCCTGGCATGTGCAATCCCTAGTACCCCCCACCAAAAAAAATAGTAGACACATAAGCTAGGAGCACAGTCATTTATTGTCATTATCAAGTATTTTGTACTGTAGATAATTGACTAGTAGCACAGTAGGTTTGTTTATATCAGCACTGCCACAGCATTTTCATGATATGTTGCAACACCGTGTTAGGACAGCTGTGATTCCTTTGGTGATAGGAATTTTCTAGCTCTGTTCGTCTCATCCGACCACCATCATATATGCAAACCTTTATGGACCAAAATGCTATCATGTAATATGTGACTCTGGCTAATTTTTAAAAATAGAATTTGCTTTATATCCATAAGAACCGGTTTATTCAGCTTCTGCATTTGTGTCTAATTGGCTAGAGTGAATCAAAAGTTGTCAGCCGTGTAGGTTACTGATCAATTACAATTTTTCAGTTCAAATAAAGCACATAAGCTTTTCATTCTCTCCATCTCCTCTCCCTCTCATTAAATAGTCTCATTTTGCTTTCTGAGGCCAGACACATGTTCTATGCCTATTCCTTTTCATCTTTAAGTCTTGGCCCGTAGGCTGACATAGAAACCTTTCCTGGCTCTGTACTCCCATAGTACTTTGTATATTTATTTCATTACTATAATTTGTAGTTGTGAGTTGTTTGCAAGTTACTCTTCTCCCTAAACTCTGAAATCACTTAGGACTAGATCTTATCCTCAGCATCTGGCACCGTGGATAACAGATGAATGCATAAGTTCATTTTGTTTGTTTTACCAGTAGAAGCAGAGTTTTTAACAAGGAAATTTAAAATATACAGAATCTGATTTAGGGTTATTTCTTGCTCTTATTCCAAATCTCTTGATAAGCAAATCAGCTTTTAAGTAACCAATTTGCTTTTGTTGTGGACTGTGTTTTTTTGTGGGCTTTTGTAATTTTTGAACTGGAAAACTGTATGCATCACCTCAAGGAAATCACATTCAGAGGATTTACCTTTTGGTTCTCCTTATAATGTTTATATATATATATATATATACATACACACACTATGGTCTTACATGTAGATGAATACTGCACATGTCCCTTTTGGTAATAATTTATTGTTGTTTTTTAAGGTCTCTGGAAGTCAGTTTAATCATAGGTGAACTTTCACCTCTCAACCTTGCTGCTTATTAATTAAGTTTGTCACTAAGTTAGGGTTTCTTTAAGTAGTGGGGAATAGTGTCCCTGGGGACAGCTCTTGCTGGTACCTTGTCATGCCAATATCTTCCTAAGGATAGGTAGAGAATTATTCCTGCTATTTCTTTTCACAGTGTTGGTAGGAGAACCTGAATCCTTACATTGTTTGTACAGTTTTCAGATTGTATCACTAGAAGTGTGTTCATTGTATTGTTTTATTTTGATTTAGACAGTGAGTGTATGTTAAATAAGTGCAAGGAAATACAGTGCTAATGTTACCAGTGAAGAAATGGTAAGGAGGGTCATACCACGGAATGGGCGACAGGTAAGACAAACAGAAGACGGTGAATTTCATAACTAACTTAGATCCAGACCTAGAAAAGAATAAAAAAATAGTCATAAAAGGGAAATGCCTTGCAAGCAGGCAGTCGTGAGTTCGATCCCCGGTACCAATAAAAAGGAAAAAGACAAAAAAAAAGAGAAATGCCTGGATTTTGAGTGACTGAATCAGCAGTCAGCAGACAGAAATGCAAAAAGAGGAAGTTTGTGTGTTTGTATGCACTGTATTTTTTAAAAATTTGTTTTTCTCATTTCATGTTTTATTTTGAAACTAGTATATTTTCATTTAAATAAAATTCATTAGATGTACAAAAACAGAAAAATATCTTGCATGGTTTTTTTTTTTATAATCATAATTCTACTACTCAGGTAGTCCTTATAAACCCTTAAATGTGAAGATATTTGTTTGGTAATGAGATGCCATGAAAAAGACAAATTTTGCTGGGTGTAGTGACACACATCTATAGTCTGAGGCTGAGGCTGAGGCTGAGGCTGGAGGATTGCAAATTTGAGGCCAGTCTGGGCAACTGAACGAGACCCTATCTAAAAATAAAAAGTGCGGGTAGTTTAGTGTAGAATGCTCCATGGGTTTAATCCCAGGTACCAGAAAGTTCTGACCTTGTGACCTTTTATATTTTAGTTTCTTGCTGCTGTTAGTCGCTCTTGTGGCTTCTTACTCAGTTCATCTCCTGCTTAGTATGTGTATTCAGACAGGTAAGTACAACTACTATGCTATTTCATTTGATGAAGAAATCCCTTGAGTTTGTACATATAATATCTTAAATCTAATTACTGGGGCTAGGAGGGATATAGTTTGGGGGTGGGGTGTGTAGTTTAAGGTAGGATGTATATTTAGCATGGACAAGGCCCTTGGTTCAGCCCTCAGCACCAAAGGAGATGGGAACACCTAATTTTCAGTGGGCATCTGCTATTAATAGGGTGCCTGGAATGGAAAATTTTGAAATGCCTAGGATTTGCACAACCAGTTCTATGGAAGCTGTTGAAGGACCGGATGAGAAGGGGAAACTAGCAATCCCTTGCCTTCCTCCACAAAACACAGTGTAGTTTTCTGGGTTAGTGTAAAAAAGGTACCTATAAGGTGTTCATAGGAGCCAACCTTTGGGGGATCAGTAGACAGACATTACTTCTGTGGTGATCCCCTCTTAAAGGAGCCCACCTGCCTAGATCTACGCCACCTTTTGTGCCCATCTGCCTGCTAGACATAGCATAATTAGCATAATTAGGCATAATTAGGAGTGTCAAAAAGAAGGTCACAAAGCTTGGGATTTATTTAGATAAACTTAAATATTTTTACTTTTGAATCTAGAATAAAGTAATTTTTCCTAAGTGACAGAAGTATGTGCAACTAATACAGTTTATGTTTGGGTTTTTTCATTTGGAATTTTATTGTGAATAAATTCTTTAAATTGCAATAAATAAAGGTATATGAATCAAAGAACCATTTATAAGATTTTCCTTTTGTCATTAACAAATATTCTGCATCCATTGATCCTCATTCTTTTATCTGTGTATTCTCTCTTTCAATTAGTCAGTTTTGAAGCCAAACTCATAATCATAATTCTTGTATGAGTGGGTTCAATTCCCTCTATTAGGTTTTGTGGCTTTTAGAAGCAGAGCAGATACACAAAAGAAAATTTTTAAGTAGAACTGTTGTCCACAGAAACAGGTAAAAGAAGCCTGAGGTGTCTTTTTGTAAGAGTTTAAAAATTCTTCAGAATATACTTTTGAAAGCACTGGTCTAGTTTGTTTCCCTAAAAGTTGTGTATTTATCAGAAGCACCTGATGGTATTTTGTGGACAGATTTTTCAACTATCCTCTAGGAGTTCCTTACAAAACCATCTCAGGATCCAACACCTGTAACTTCTAGCAGTGCTTCTAAATGCATGCCTCTGTTCACAGTGACTTTGCAGACAAAAATGCTAGGAAACAGTACAAAGAAATGTATTGTTTTTAATAGAATCCCAAATCTAGGAATAATCATTTTTCAGTAAATATATTTGTAATCTTGCTGAACTTGACTGGAATTTTAATTTTGAAATTTTGCTTCTTTGTGTGAAAAAATTATTTTTATGAATTTAGATAATGTATCTAACATTCTAATACATTCTTTAATGAAGTCTACTAAAAAATTAATACTTTGGTAAACGATACAGCAATTATGTCATCAGTAACTGAAATGTTTTATTAATTGCAGTTGAGAGTAATATTCAGTTTGTAGAGATCTGTATTTGTTCCCTTTTTTTGGTATAATTTAACTTTAAAATTCTGACACTGTTATTCTTTCTGTAACTCTGGGGCATGAAAAGTGAAAACACTTGTTTCTCTTTCTTTTTTCTCTTTCTTTGATTTGTGTAGCTTACTCGGATCCATGAACTAATTTCCTCATAGCTCTTCATTCCTACTGATGCACCTGTCTTGCACTGATTGAATTCCTTCAGTCAATATAGAATTCTCTGTGGAGGTAGGCTTTTTTCCCAATACATCACATAAGACTAAAGAATAATATGTAAGTTTTTCCTGTCAGTTTGTTGAACTATCACAAAGGAGTGTAATGTTTAGATTGGATCCATTGTTCAGAAAAAGAGCTATTATAAGTCTTATTATTATAAGAAATTAGAGGGCCTGAAGGCCATGCTAAATAAAATAAAACAGACATAGAAAGAAAATTTCTGTGTGTTCTCATGTGTGGAATCTTAAGTCAAATACATAGAAATAAAAACTAGAACTGTGTCTGCATGGTTACTGAGAAAGAGAGATGGAAAGTCAATCAAAAAGTACAAAGCTTACAGAATGAGTAAGTCTACAACACTAATGTATAACATGTTGACTAATAGTTTCCATAGTTAATAGTGTATACTCTACTGGAAATCTGCTAAGAAAGTAGACTTCAGGTGGTTTTCACATATCCACATATGTATCAATAAGGTAACTTTGTGAGAATGTGGTATTTAATTGACTGTCTTAATCATTTCACAGTGTATATCTCAACATCACATAGTACACCCTCTAGGCTACACATCCTATGTATTTCCAATTATATAACATTCTAGAAAAGGCAAAACTATGGAGACAGTAAAAAGACCAGTTGTTGCCAATAGGAGGTAAGATGAGTAAACAGCACAGAAGACTTTCAGGGCTGTGAAATGAATCTGTTACATTATAATGGGATTATGCATCATTATACATTTGTCAAGACCCAAGGAATGTACAATACCAAAAGTGTCCCCTAATGTAAAATATGAACTTATGTGACACTGATGTATCAAAGCAGATTCATTGATTTTAACAAACGTGCCACTGTGGCACAAGATGTTGATAGTTTGGGAGGCTAGCCATGTAGGGAACCAGGAGATATATGGAACTCTGTACTTTCTGCTCAATTTTTCTATGAACTTAAAAGCTCTAAAAGTATACTCCACTAAGGAAAACACAAGCAAAGCAAGTATCTTAGTTACTTTTTACTTGTTGTTGAGACAAAATACCTGACACCCAAAGTTAGGAAAGAAAAAGTTTATTTCTTACAGTTTTTTGGAGTTCTCAGTCCATACTCAGTTGGCTCCAAGGCAGTGTGGCATGGCAGGGCAGCCATTCATGGCAGCTGCAAACAGCAAAAGCTAAAGCAAAAGAGTGAGACACACCTCTCCCCTTATATTATATCGTTGCTCCACCCCTAGGCACATCTTCAATCCCAGTGCTAGACGACAAACCAATCACAAACACTAGATTCTTCCGCATCCATGTTACATGAGGCCGGGGGGGGGGGGGGGATATATCATCTATAACAGAAACAGTATCTTGGTGTCTTTCTTTGCTGAGGCAAAGTACTTGATACCCACAATCTGAAGGAGGACAGGTTTGACTCATATTTTCAGCCTGTAGTCTGCTGTCTCCAGAGCAGAAGGTCATGGCAGAGGGACATAGTGGAAAAAAAGTTGCTCTGTCATGGCAGCCAGGAAGAGAGAGAATCAAGGAGCCAGCATGGAAGATTTACCCTTTAGGTTGCATCCCCATTGACCTTCCTCAGTCCAGACCCCAGCTTGCAATGGTGCCCTCTGCCATTTCACTCACCAGTGGATGAAGTCATCTCCTAATACAGTGCCCCTGTGATCCAGCAACCTTCAAAGCTACACTTTTAGGCTATGAGAATTGGGGAGCAGGGGATTCCAGATCTAAACCATTAACACGGAGGAAAAGAAAAAACAGACAATAAATGTTCTACATGAAAACTTCCAAAGTAATTACTATACTTAGTAACTGCAGAGAACCAAGAGAAGATAAAGCATCCTTGAGACAAGAACAAGAAATAATTAAAGGACTCTATTCAAAAAACACAAGTCCTAGAAGTCAAAAACATCTTTAATAGTTGAGTTGGAAGAAGTAAGGAAATTTCCTGAGGTAGAATAGGGGAAAAAAGAATTTAAGAATGGGAAAAACAGGGCTGGGAATATAGTTCAGTGGCACAAGTGCCTGCCAGGCAAGCACAGGGTCGTGAGTTCAATCTCTTAAAAAAGGAAAAACAGAACAAAACAAAACAAAAAGAATGGGGGAAAGAAAAAGCAAGAAAAACAGAAAAGCAACACAGGAGGCCAAACATACAAATTATAGGAATTCCACAAAGACCAAAGAGATAAGATGGGATAATAGATTTTCCTGAGAATAATTTACAAAGTTGTGACTGAAGAAAATTGAATTATTAGAAGGATTCCTCCTAGTATCCAGTATAATAATTGTAAAATAATTCGTACCAATATACATAGTGAATGCTCAGGAATCCATGAGCACCTTAGAAGTTCACAGAAAAAAAAAATCTTCATCATAAATAAACCTCAAAAATCAAGAACCTTTGTGACAAAGGTCTTCCCAAGAGCAATGCTGTAAAATAGATTATGAAACAGTACCTTAAATTCTCACGGAGAATTGTTTTGTTGTGTTGAGTTTTTGAGACAGACTCTCACTGTGTAATTCAGGCTGGCCTTGAACTCACTCTGTGGCTCCTGCTAGTCTTGAACTCACAGTGATCCTCGTGTTTCAGCCTCCTGAGTGTTAGGATTACAGGTGTGTGCCACCATGCCTGGCTTCAAGGAAAACAATTTTAATACAGAATTCTATACCCAGCCAAACTATCATTTAACTGTGAAGTTTGCATAATGCTACTTTCATATATGCAAATTTTCAAACAATAGTCTCCCAAGCATACTTACTTAACAATGGAAGATTTCCTTTGCCAATCTTGGGAACAGCAAAGAAATGGGATCTAGCACCAGGGAGAAGTAAGCGAAATTCCCAGACTGTCAATTGAGCAGCAGATCTAAACACCACCTATATTTTAGAGTATTTTTCACAAGCGACACTGCACAGTCTTTTCTCCTGGTGACACCACACTCAAGGTTGTGTTAGTAAAAAGATAAGAAACTTTTATTTATTCCCCAAGTTAAGAGAGTGTCCTTCCCACTTGTCAGTCTAGCTCCAATTTATACTAATGATGCCTGAGTATGCTCAAAGTCAGGCTTGGCTACAATGGAAATCTAGGAATAAAATACTAACTGAATGAAGAGAAAGAAGAGAACTAAAAGAAAGAACTAGATTAAATAGTGTGGGAGGAGTTAAGGATGAGAGGAGCTGATATCTGAGTGAATGTGAATAGTAAGGGAGGAAATGCCTAGTGTATCCCCCCGAGTTTTCTGGTTTGGGCC